TTCAAGTTTAAAAGTAAATTAGTTTTCAAAACTCAATAAACAACTCATATTTTATTTGTTCTTTTTCAAATTTCAGTTTTTAATATTTTTGTCAAAAGAAACAGAAACGACTGTCTTTGGTCCATTCGTTTCCTGCAAAAATTAACTTTTGCTAGAGTTGCCATCTAGTGGGGGTGCTTTTTTAGTGCTTTCGTTTTTTTTAATACTTCCTCATTATGCCGTACCAGCACTCTTGCTAGAGAAAGCAAACTCGTTCTCGCGAGTTTAACGAGATTGCAAAAAATGATTTATTCTAAGTGCGGTAGGGCAAATTTATGCGAGTCCGGGGGGTAAAAAGGCGAAGATTAACACTTTTACAGTATTTGTATTTTCAATAGAGTCTTTTAAATGGCTGGTTATCTGGCCAGCACATTAATAAGACGAATAGCAAAAACTGTGTAATATAATTAAACTTTTGTTTGATATAAGCAGAGAAGACTGGTTGCTTTTTTCAATTCGTATTAGTTTAGATACATCAAAGTTTAGTTTCTTAAAAGATTAATACCTGGATGACTAAGCTATACTCGGCACTTTTATAAATGAAGAAATTATACCTAACTAAATCACCTCTAAAAGCCCCTGCATACTTAATGTCATGAAAATTGTTGGAGCCGTTTCCGAATTTCAATACAGTAATTGCTCTTTTATATACATATAAAAAAATATAATTGCGTCAAACAATGTTAAAAACACAAAATTTTATTGAAAATACCCGTAAAAATATTTTTTTATTTCATAATACCTATATTTTATCCTTATTAATAAAAAATGTGATTTAAATAAATACAGTAAAAAAGTAAACACACAAAAGTTCCAATCTCGCGAGATCCCGTAATTGGCGAGATCTCGCATGAATACCATTCTCGCGAGATTGCATTCCGAGTGGTGATGAGTCTGCACTGAACTACTTAATTTCGTCCATTTTTTTTTATTATAAACATTGTATATTGATTTGTCAATGAATATGTATGACTTTGCAACTGGCGTGTTAATCAGTGATTGAAAAATATATGAGAAAAAAGCAGTCCTTGTTGAGTTTCTTGCCGGTTCCTCTCAGTATAAGGTCTCCCGCCGTAGTTTTGCGAATGAGGAACTATTTAAAAAAAAAAAATTAGTTCTTGAAATCATACTAGATGTCACTCGTGAGTTTTGGATTTTGTTTATGATATTCATTCAAATTTTGGTTCTGACGTTAAAAAAGTAAATTGAGTATCGAATATTAATAATCGTTTTGTGTTTCTTATAATATCTAACTTTCAAATTAATTTTAATCGTAAGTTTACGTTGTTTATTATGTTATGTGTAAAGGAGCGATGTTTGGTTGATACGTCAACATTAGTGATGAGCCAACTTATTGGTTGCTCGTAACTTGCATCCGAATTCAGGTTTGGAATGAAGAACAAAAATCGGAGCGCAGAATTCAGCTTGTATTTATTTGTATGTGTCATTATGCATCCACAAACCGAATTATTATTAACAATATTATTGTAAGAACCAAAAAGGACATTGGGTATGTGCTGTACGAATGAACTTAACACATGGCTCGACGTCCGCTGTCGACATGCAAGATCAGTAGCAATAGTATAATAACTGTACGTGTCTTTGTGATTTTGAAATTTAAAGTTATAACCCTGCTATTCGTTAAGAACAGACGTTACTTGTTGATTGTTGAATGTTTATTAAGATGATTTAATTATCAATATAAGATTTAATAACTGATCATAGTTTTTTTAAGTCTCAATTTCGAAAACACAAGTTATTTGCACGCTCCACTTTGCATAAACGTCATTTTAGCCAGAAGTCATGTTTTGATACATATCGGGTAAGTATATAGATAATAAACGGATTTTTTATTATAATTATCGTTTTTATGACTTTTGTTGCTTATTAATAAACCTTATTCATTCATTCACCATACATAATATAAAAATATTATTGAGACTTGATGTAGTTTTGTTTTTGTAAGTTCAACAAATAACTAATAGCAATAAAACTAACTTACTAGTTGTTATTGTTTTCAGAACTTTTGTTAAATATTAAAATGAAAAATTCCTAGACCTACTATGGCATAAGTATTTTATTTATAAAATATATTTAGCGGTAATATTATTGTATACCATAGCTAAATGCCACTTTTAATTATATCACAGCATTCATTCAATTGATTTCCATAAATTAAAAAAAAACCTTTGTGCTCACTTCCGTTATATTAGTTTTCATTTTCCTCTATACAAATGAAAAAGAAAAATAAATTCAAAGATTAATTCGTATTAATCGATCAGCGTTTGCATAACTCAAACTAATTAAATTTCAACTCGATATTAATCCGAGTTATCAGATCCATAACATCACTGACAATTCTATTCTCTTTGGTTTAACGTCATGAATTGACGTTTAGATCCAACTATTTGTGCTGCCATCTAGTGACATAAATTTTTGTACTTTCTTTATTTTTTTTTAAATACTTCCTCATTGTTGGCATATTTTTTTACTTTTATGAGTACTATGTAACAGCCTAGACTGAATTGATTTTGATGTTTATATTAATATCATTCAACATGTGGATGCATAATGGCACATATCCAAATTCTGCACATAAAAAAAAACAAGCTGAATTCTGCGCTCCGCTTTTTGTTCTTCATTCCAAATCTGAATTCGGATTTATCGAGTCAATTGAAGTTACGAGCAACCGATAAGTTGGCTCATCACATAGGTATAATCATGTTAATATAGGTATAATCATGAAGCTAAAGAAATAACTGGAGACCAAACTCCTCCATACCTACTTGAAGCATAAAAAATTGACCTTGAATGCTTTCTTTTTCATTACTTAGGTCCCCTTCCTCTCTTTCTAATAGGATGTCCACACAACTACAAAGTAAAAGAGACAAGTTTAAACAGTAAAACATTAAGGCAAAAAAACATATCTATCAAATTTTCCAAGGTAGATGTAAAGTTTACACATGACATTAATAGATCGAATTTAGACTCTCCGTCAAATATGAAATTTACTTTATTAAAGTTCTGTACAAAAAGTCTTTTCTACTGGACCAAATCTTGTATAATTTGTCATCCTTTGACCTAAACACAGATATACAAAGTAATTATATTTGTTTTTATTAATAAGGGTTATTTTCGGGGGAGAAATTAGGAAATTTAAAAAAGTTTTGCTAACCTTACTGTCTCGTACGTATAATATAGTTTTTAATGAGTCTCGTTATGAGGTTCTCAAACAAAAAATAAATAAATTTTGAGTTTGATTAAAACTTAGCAGTGTGGGAATTAGAGTTGGCGAAAAACTCTTCATAATCATCACCAGCCTATTAATGTACCCAAATGGGTCCATTCCGGATTGGTGGGTATTTAGAACTGCAGATGCAATCGGGACAAACTGGTTAATCCAGGATGCCATTTGCTTCCACAACCTAGGACTACACATTTCTGAACCATTTTTCATGATTTGATAGCGAGAAACGTTTATATATGAATCACAATTTTCGAGTCGATGAAATTAGTAATTGTCATTCTTCTCAATAATATTTATACATCAATAAATTCGTTAACGAATGTCATCGTATCCATTCTATGTGAAACGGTCTATAGTGGAATATAATTTTACAATTTAGAGGCTTTAATAATAATTCAAGACATTCAATTGCAAGTCTGGATTATTGATTAATGAGATTGACATGACGACGGTAAAAAGACAATATTTTTTATTAATTTGCAGCTATGTATCTGCCTTTTGATTATAATATTTGTGTACTTTTTTTATTATAGATTTTATTTAATTGTAGTTAATGCTTTATAACCCTTTTGTTTAAGTTTTTGTTATATCGGATTGGATTTCAGAGTATATTTAATGTATAATCTTATTTCTGATATATAAATAAAGTTTCAAGTCCTATGAAATTAGTGACGTGTAAAACTATACTATTAGTACCAATTGTCAATAAGTTTATGAAACATAAAATTAGCGAATAGCATCAATGACGGGTACAAGTTCCGAGAAAATTTAGATTTATGAGATAGTCACCCTGGAGTCCAACGAAAGGTCAACAGAGCTCAAATAACTTTGCTACAACCAATAGTTTTGAGTTTGGCCTCCAGTTCTTTAACTTTATCTTCATGGGTATAATATAAATAAAACATCGTTCCATTATACGTAACATAATACATAACTTAAACTTACTTTTTAAATAAATTAAAATGAATTTGAAAGATAGATATTATAAGAAACATGATACGATGTCATATTTATTAATTTTTGATACTCATTTTACTTTTATTGCTTCATAAATAAAATTTGTAAGAATATCATAGACAATTATCTGAAAACCGCTAGTGACATCTAGTTTGATTTCAAGAACAAATTTTTATTTTTTTAAATACTTCCTCATTATACTAACCAATTGTTACGGCCTAAAAGAGTAAGGGAAATCGGGACACACCGATCACCCCAGATAGGGTTTCTTACTATGTAACTCTTTTTACACTACCCAATTTTCAGGGTAAAAAGCTCTAAAAATGGGTTAATGTAATTAGGGCTTAACTTTCTAACCCTTATTACACCACCTTTAGTAAGCGTAATGGAGTCTAGAAATTGGATAAGCCTTTTAAGATGCATCCTAGATATCGAGTTGGCAACATTGCTAAAGGGCCCTGCTAAATATTTTTAAAAGCTTCTTGGGCTATATCTACCCAAAGAAGGGATTCTAAGGCCCAATAAGTAAACTGAGGCCCCGTCATCACCCATATACTCGCTTTTTATTTGACTGCCTACTCTTTGCCATTCAATAACGAACTCTAAACTTTACTCTATGACGGCAATATTGTACACTGTGAACGGCTGAAGACCACAGAAGCCAGGGCCGGTAAAATCTTTTTGAAAAAGAAAAGAAAAAGTGTACGCTGTGCAACACAGTGTACACTTTTTTGTGTAGTCTTTGAAGGCAATCAACAAAAATATAACCTTAAAAGTTTATAACTAAAAATGCCCTTAGATTATCGTAGATTCAATGGACCCGAAGATAGTGTTTCATACAAACGTTACACAAACAAGTATTATAAAGGTTATGATGAACTTTATAAGGAGCTGGTGGATGACAAGGGTCGAAGGAAAGACGGTCGTGCACTAGATGAAGCCCGAAGCATGTGTATGTTTTGTATGTGTTCACTTTTCATATCGATATGTGTTACAAATTATATTCAATTAAAGAAACTATCTAATGAGATGTTTGTAAACAAAATTGACAGTCTTTGTTGTCAATGAATCATTTGTCTTCCGTTTTATCTATCAACGCGGGAAAAAGGGAAATTACAGAAGAGGCTGATAAGTGATACTGAGCTAAACTTAGTGATACTGAGAGTACAATACTATTTTTACACAAAGTGTTTAACGGTTAGGAATAGTTTATCACAAAATTGTGTGGCTTGGGGCCTCAGTTCTCTCTTGTCTACCCTGCCAAGGGCTGTGAAGAAAGAATGTTATGTTTTAATATAAACTGTTGGAAGTTACTAAATGAAATGTTGTGTTTCAGTTGCACGCACAGATTTAATTTCTCAAGCAAAAGGTTCTGCATATATAGAATTAAAGAAAACAAAAGTAGTATGTTCAGTTTTTGATCCTAGAGAAATTCCTCATCAAAATGAATTCAGGTTTGTACTTTGACATAGTCATATAGAACTAGTTTGCTTGAATATTCACCTCTGTTGATCAGAGGTGCCAAATTAGTGTTTCTAGCACTTTCTATAATTCAATATTTAAGAAAAACATTACTTTTTAACAACCTTACAATAATTGTCCCATTATAATAGTTCATGTTATTCTCTGTTCCAGTCAATTAGGTCAGCTTTACTGTGAAGTGAAATTTGCACCATTTTCATGTGCACAACAAAGGAGGCCACATGTGGATGCAGAGGATAAATCTTTGTCTGTTGCATTGCGACAAGCTTTAGAACCAACAGTCTGCAGACATTTGTTTCCAAATTATCAGGTGAACTTATATTATTGAAGTGTCTTATTGCCTTACATCACATTATACATAATATTATAACAATTATTGTATATCCCTTTACAGGTAGATGTATTTGTCTACATTTTAGAACATGATGGTGCCTGTTTGGCAGCAGCAATCAATGCTGCAGGACTTGCATTAGCTAATGCCTCAGTACCCATGTACGACATAATCACTTCCAGTTCTGTAGCTATTATTGGCAAAAAAGTATTTGTTGATCCAACAGAAGCAGAGGAACACCTTGCTATGATGTCACCAGAGACAGAAGGTACAAACCATGGCATCATCACAATGTCAATGTTGTCAGAATTGAAACAAGTGTCAGACTTTGTGCAGATTGGATCAATGGACATTGAGTGTGTCACTGAGGCTATGGATATTTTAGAAAAAGAATGTGAAAATATTGTGCCCAATATACAAAAAGTTCTTGTACATAATGTTGTACAATCTTTTAATCAAAGAAAGCAATTAGAGGCAGAAGCAAAGGAGAGAGAAATCGCTTTAAATGTAAAAATGGAAGAGTGGAAAAAATTATTAAATGCTGGATGAAGTTTAAATTGTGTTTTATTTCTTTCCTGTCATAAACAAAATGCTAATACTGACTATAATTGCATTTTATATATAAATCTATCTATATCCTTATACCTAAATGCTTGTGTGGTGGGAAAATTTTTTTGCAGTAACATGGTATTTTTTTTTTGGTGCATGGATCCTACCACACTTAACAAGGTTATTATTTCGTCTAAATTATGTTGATTATAAAATGCTCATGTTTTAGTTATTTATATCATAGACAGGTAACTTATCATATTCATAAAACACAAATATTTTTAGAATATCACCAGTCTTAAAAAAACTAGCAGTGAGTTCAGCACGGGACCAGGATATGTAGACTTATACTAAACTTAAGTTATATATTTCAAACTACTGGTAATTTAGTCTTCAGGCTTCTCTGGTGGAGGTCCGCATGGCTGCAACATCCTTTCCATAAGGTTAAACTTCACACGAGCTTTGGACTCATTTTCAACAATAGCAAAATAACTTAGCAAATCGGGATGACCCATGTAACTGCAACAAGAATCTCGGTGTTGGTTCGTTAGCCATTCATATTTTGTGGTGTCTGCGTGCCCTGTGCCTATGTATTTGCTCTGTAGATGCTCAAGTTGACTGTGGATATTGTATCTTTCACCCATCGTCCTAAAACAAATTTACAGAGGTTAGAAAAGTGATTACTTGAGAAATTATTGTTTGATGTTTACAAACAAAACCTCGATGACATACTTGTTTTATATTTTACTAAATTCAAAAGTTTTTCTGAGTTGTGAAAATTAATAAATAAAGCCACGAACGACCAACAAGCCAATTTTACAGATCAATAAGAGATCTACTACCAAAGACTACAGTGTATAATAAGCTACTACAAGGCTACTACGATACGTGATCTGTGCACGATACTAGGGATGTCGATATTAATCGATTTTTAATAAACATCGATGTTTATATATCCTTATAAATATTAATATATCCTTAGGATCATCTAACGTGCTCTAGATTTTCTAGCAAGATCATTCATCTCGTATATCAAGTTCAACAATTTTTCATTAAATGTCACCGGTTGCACTCGTAACTGGAGTAACCAAATAAATAGTTTTTTCTTTGCTTGCATTTTCCAAGGAAGTTAAAAATAAATCTGTCAACTTCAGCGCTATTTGGTACCCTATAATTAACCGATAACGTCCTTCAATGACTATTACGATTTTATACGTTATTTTGAGAACAAAAATTAATAAGTTGCCTTTAAGAAGATTACGATACTAACTGCTTACTGATTTAGTTTTGCATTGAAGGTATAAAGGTTTAAGAAGATTCTTTTTTCGGTGTCGGGTAGCTTCGCGTGTATGAGTGATGACCAGTGGTCGGAATTAGGTAGAGTTATTCATGTACTTACACTGATTTCATACAGCGAAAGAATAAAGTGGATATGCCTAAAATCTCGAGATTAATTTTAAAGAGCAGAAAAAAATCCCGTGATTTTTTAAATAAAAAGTTATTTACTTTTACACAATTTAAACTACTGCACGCACGACGTTGCCAAACTTACACCAATGAAAGAAAGACATAAAGAAAGAATAAATAAAGAAATCCCGGGAAGGTCCACATTAATATCAACATTTCGATGCAAGTACATAAATAACTCTACCTAATTCCGACCTCTGGTGATGACTTATGCTAAACTAACTAAAGTTCGTCTCACGAAAGAAGTCCCTCGGATCACAATGTTTTTGCTTTTATTACAAAGGAATAAGAGTTATTCAGTGGGACTTCTTTCGTGAAATTCTAACTCAACTACTTTTTATTTCATTTTTCAAAATAGGGATAATCGATTTTGAATAATCAACGATGTTGAAAGCAAAAAAATTAATGTCTTATAGATGTTAACAAATTAATCATCAATGTTTACTCACGGCCTCATGCAAGACCAATGAGTTTTTTAATAGTTGATAATATTAATTTCAATATAAATTAATTGATAATACAAAAAACATCGAAATTTTGATAAAAATAAAATCAAAATTTTGTGTATGCAATATATATACATCTTGATATACGAGTACATATTTTACATCAGTTGATATAAAATATTGGAATATGTAATTATTTGTTCTGTTTCCTAATAAATTTCGAAAGATTCACTGTATTTTATTTCTTTGTAAATTATTGTTCAGTTCGGTTTTCAATAAATATCGAAGATCGATGCGGCGGATATTTAAGAACTAATAAAAGAGGAGCAATCATGGAGGAGACATTCGTAAAAAATATGGTTTAAGTCCTCAACATCAGTACCACTACTGCATAGACTACTGTCAACTACTCCCAAGTCTAGCAAGATGAGAGGCAGAACGAAAATGCCCTAAAAGCATTCTAATGAGACTTGTAGCATATTTACTTAAATGCATTCTAAAAAACCATGGTTTGTGAGGTATTAACTCCTGAATAGATTAGTAAGTTCTACCTTTAGTATGGCTTGAAGTATCCTATATTGCTTCCCACGATTTATACAAATATGATTTAGGGAGAAATAAGATATCTTGTATTAATATTTTATAAGTTTTATAGAGGAAAATATTACCACATTCCACCGCATCTTTAGCAAGTTTGTCCGCTATTTCGTTACCAGTAATGATGGCCAGGTCGGTATCCAAACGAAATTCAATTTTTAAAGCCTTTTATTTTACAGTTAAGTAATAATTTCCTACATTCAATTATATACGTGTTAGAGAAATGGGATTAAAAGGAAGTTTTTTTAATGCTTGTAAAGCACTTTTAGAAACGGAAAAAATTATAGCTTTCTTGAGGTTTGCAAGTAAAATATAATCTAATGATTTTAAAATTCCATAGCACTCTCCTGTATAAACTGAAGTTTCAGGTGGTAATTTTACTTTTCGTATTATATTGTATTGTTCATGATAAACACTAATTCCAACTAATTCGGGTATATGTTGTTTAGACGCATCCCAATAGATATAATGCCAATCAGGCTATTCTGTATCAATAACATATTTAAAATTAATATTAGTGTTAAGGTCATTGTTAACAATGTCTAGATTGTAGTGAACTTCAGGAGCAATAACAAGAGATTCATAATTTACTAAAAAAATAGGCAGGTACTGTGTACGGTGCGTAGGTGCTTGTAAAGAAATAAATTTACAGAAGCTAATTACTAAACAAGGAGGGGATTTGTGTATCCAGTATGAAGAATTTACAAGTATTTCAGATAAATCATGTAAATTACAATACAAAAGGTTATTTGAAAATTGGAAGGAGCGAAAAAGAAATGTGTCACATAAAAATTGTCTTCTTACTTTTAAGGGGGGGTTATACACATTCAACTTGGAGTGCATTTATGGGACTTGACATTATGGCTCCAGTAATGATACGCAAGGCTTAGATTGAATACTGTCTAATATTACTCAATCTTAACATGCTGCATGGTTCCAAAAAGTAGGTTCCATAATCTAGAATACTTTTAATAATGGTAGTGTAAAGAAGTTTAAATGTAGTGGGATGGGCACCCCACCAAATGCCCGAAAGGCATCTCAAGATGTTTAATAAACGTTTACAATGAGCAGAAATATAATGACAATGTGATAAGCCAATTTAGAGTCGATAGTAATTTCAAGAAACTTTGCTTCGTTATTTACTGGTACTGATTTATAATTATAATATATTGAGAATGGTGGAGGAAGACGCATCCTTGTAAACAGGACAGCACTATTAAATATATAGAGTTTTAAAGCAATTTCATCTAACCATGACTTAACTCGTCTGCGTACTGTAATACATTTGCACAGTCTATGACAGAAGATTCCAAATCAAAGTTGTAAATATTGTAAAGTAAGGGGCTCAGAATCGAACCTTGTGGAAGTTTCCATGATTATCTAGATTTACTACTGAAATTATCACCATTTTTAATTATTATCATTCTTTCCGAGAGAAAATTAATAATAAAATTAGATAAAATTCAAAGAACTTCTAATTTTAATAATTTATTTCTTAAGATATGGATATCTACATTATCATATGCAGCAGATATATCTAGAAACGTAGCAAGGACAGATTGATTATTGGAAAATGCTAACCTGATATCTGTAGTGAATATAGGTAAACTATCCTTTAACCTTTATTTTTACCTTTCCTGAAGTCATATTGACTGGATACCAACAAACCTTTTTTTTATGGGATAGGGGGCAGACGAGCATACGGATCACCTGATGGTAAGTGATTACCGTCGCCCATGGACACCTGCAACACCAGAGGGGCTACAAATGCGCTGCCGGCCTTGGAGGAAAGGGTTGAGGGATAGAGGGAAGGGAATAGGGAGGGGGTTGGGCCTCCGGTACCCTCACTCACACGACGAAACACAACGCAAGCGTTGCTTCACGTCGGTTTTCTGTGAGGCCGGTTTTCTAACCTATTCTTAACTAAATGTTCGGCTAATTTAGAAATTACTGAAGACAAAGCTATATAAGTATTTAATTTATAAATACAAAACGGAGTTTAGTCGTGATGTAGTTTCCGATATGGATTTCGCTCGGACATAAAAGGCTACATCATCTGCGTATTATAGAAACTGATAGGAGTTCATTGAAAGTTCCATATCGTAAGTATATATGCTGTAATGTAAACCATTAATAGTAATAATGATAATTCTTCATTTGCTATAAATTTGGACTAAGAACTGATCCTTGAGGTAGACCTTTTCAAACCACCCTTGCTAGAGAGTAACCTTGGGATCTTATCAATATAGATCTGGATGATATCAAATTGTATGTGAAATGGACTAATGTCCCTGGAATGTTCAGCTGTTGCATTTTCTACCTGAGCACCGGAATAAGAACATTATCATATGCGGACGCAATAACCCTACTGTTCTTTTTACTTAAACGATAGGCGAATAACTGTCGTAAGGATGCTGAGATTATCTATTGTATTGGCAAGCATGTCGCGACTTTCTACAATCCACTCGAGACGGTTTTTCATGATATGTTCGACGATTTTTAAAAGAACAGACGAGAGAGCTATAGGCCGAACAAGAAGAGTGTTCAGATGGATTTTTTGCCTGGTTTTAAAAGAGGTATAGTAATTTGCTTAGATAGATATTCCAATGATATAACTTAAGGAGTATGGAATCCCATCTAAGTCCGAGGTATTGTCCTTTAAGCCAGAAAGTGCTTTTTGGAGCTCTTCAATCGAAAATAATCCATCTATTATTCCGGTGGAAGGCTGTATGACATTGGTGTTGATATGTAGGCAATCAATATTTGGGCCTGATGAGGGAGCCAGATTGTCTGCAAATGCTTCTATCCAAGTCGAAGAAACAAACACTTGATTTCGTTCTTTCATTCACACATGACGATCTATCCATCCATATTATCCATATTATTAAACGTTCTATATTACACGTTACATTCTATACGGTTATTAAAATTGCATTATATGTACGTCAATGTAAAGTGTTGATTTCATAAAGATGTTTACATAGCGTTGCGAACTGTGATCGCGGTTATTATAAGTGATTCGCCCAAACATCAACCTTAAGCGATTTACTTAAAAGTGTTGTGGAAAAAAAAGGAACTTATTGCCTTTAAATAGGTATTCTCTCAACTCCAAATAAAATAATAATATGTAAGATAAAAAGACTTATGTATTTTCTTGATAAATATTTTAAACAGAAAAAAAAACAAACTGACAATGACAAAGAATATAAAGAGAAAAAACAAAGTGGCCTATCAAAAAATATATGAAAGAAGGTTGGTGTGTAAACTAAATAGTTCCAACACTTCCCC